GAGAGAGAGAGAGAGAGAGAGAGAGAGAGAGAGAGAGAGAGAGAGAGAAAGGTCTAGACAACTGGATTAAATTTTGCAGCATTGTAGGACTTTCGCAAAACGAAATTCCTGACGACCTTGAATTTCAGATTAAGCTTTCGTCATCGCTATATTTAACAGTAAAAACGATATCGTCGAAAGAGTGAAAATAGAAAAAAGTTGCTAAAACATAATATTTATATCCCGTAGCTTTCGGCGAAATTCGCCAGGATACGGACGTTTTTTTCACGCGATTTACGGCGAGCGTGACGTAGCCGAAGTTAAAATCATAAAGTTGCTCCTAAGTCTGACGACTAATATCCATGTGGATTTGTGAGTTTCAAAATGGCGTCAGCGGTGGGGCTAAGAGTTGCAAGATCGAATAGATTAGCCAAAGGAGAAATTAAAAGATGATTTTGGCGCGGCGTAGCATCGTTACTTTGTGAATAAAGACGTCGACGCGCTTTCTAGATCCTTCCACTATTGTATAAATATATTCGAGCGCATGACGGGCCACCGAGCAGCAGCGAGATCGCTGTAACGGCATAAAACGCTTGCCAAATAGCTCGTGAGGTTTCCTCTGCCGCTCGTGAAGCAAAAGAACCGTCGACGACGGACGTTTATGCTATCGCGAGAATAAACGTGCGATCGGAGTGCACGAGCGACCAACGTTTTCCTTACGGACATTCCACGACGGGCGGATTAATTGACGCGTTGAAGGCAGGCAGATAGAAAAGCCAGGCTACACAGGCTTCCTCCATATTTTTCTAAAGCAGCTACGCGCTCATACTATTGTACTAACGCGATCGAACTTTCGACAATTTCCGTTTCGTAACGTCCAACGTTCACTTACGTATACACTACGTACCAATGGATATATCTTCGCAACCTTCGATCGTCCGCTGCTGAGTTACACCAAGAGAAACCGCGACGCGACTATACAGTGGCGATGGCTCGGGGAAAAGTTCTAGACGGGTCTACGCCTCGCACGTTTCCAACGCTAACCGGGACTGCTATTGCTCGGCAGAAAAATCGCGGAGGCGCCTGTGGATCGATCGATCGTGCGACTCGACGGCCCATCCGTACTCACCCATCGACGGTCGGTTCGTTGATGGAGAGTTCACACTCGCGTAAAACCAAACGAATAGAACTTACCTGTGCAAGCGAGACGAAACGAGAGAGGCTCTACTCGGCAAGGATGACCGCGCAAATTGTGTATGACGTTAGCTTGCTCCCCTCAAAATGCATGCGGCAGCGATTCTCGAACTGCTAGGCGCTCACGTCTCCCACCACTACCACTACTGATGTCTGTTCTCGAACTTCTTATGGCTCCTGCACACAGGACGCGGAAACGCTTGCGGCTGCGCAGCAAGAAGCGACGCGGCAGCCAATCAACGCGCTGTTCTTTCATAAGAGCTGCAAATTTATTGGTTACTACGTCTTTCTTGTCGCGCAGCGGACACTTCCACGTCCTGAGGGCCGATTGTGTATTTCGAAACAAAGTGAAAATTACAAGTGAGCAAATTCACTAGACATTGACCAATGAAGTTACAGATATTCTAGTAAATTTGCTCACTTGTCATTTTCACCCCATTTTGAGATACAAAGGTTGCTTTCCAACAAGAGACACAAGTCAACACATCCTATCTTTGTTACTCACTAAATGTGGAATAAAGATAGAATGATGTTTGTGTCGACTTGTGTCTCTTGTTGGAAAGCAACCACAATCGACCCCCTAGACTGCGTTCAAATTCTTCATCCGGGTGCACTCTATTACTAGAAACACTATGGCCGCGTTCTGGTATACGCTCGTAACGCCCAAATTGCCCTTCAAGCCGTTCCATTAGATGCTCACGGTGTTCACGACGTATTGTTGTAACTAGCTTTATAACTAGCTTCCTAAAGGTGCCTTTACATGGGAGCATCGAGCGTTAAAGCGGTAGTCAATCAACGTGCTACTTTCCGCAGGAACTACAAGTATATTTCTGAAACCTGATACGTTGATTGGCTAACGCTTTAACGCTCGACGTTGGAATGCTCCCATGTATTGGCACCTTTACTCCAGCTTGTTCCTACGGTAAGGTATTGAGTTAGAAGTTGTCATAAATTACAAAAGTACTAGATGGTCGTGCCTATCATAATTTTCGGCCCTAGTGGAACTACGAGTAACTCTAATGGCTCCTACACACAGGACGTGGTAATGCTTGTCGCGCGACAGCCAATCAATATGTTGTTTTTCCGTAAGAGCTAAAAGATTATTACTGAAGACAGCATATTGATTGGCTGTCACGCAAACTTTTGCCGCGCGGCAAGCATTATCGCGTCCTGTGTGCAGGAGCCATAACTCTAATTGTCGTAAACACCCATTGGCTGCGTTCAGCAGAGAAAGCTGCTTTGCAACTGTTGTAAAATTTGTGAATCTGATTGGAGTATGCTCTTAATTTTGATTAAATCCAAGAGCATGTACCATTCAGATTCACGAATTTTACAACAGTTGCAAAGCAGCTTTCTCTGCTGAACGCAGCCTTTATTTCGAAGAGTTTTATTCAACAGTGCAATGGCGTTGGGGCGATATTCCTCTCTGTGAAGTCTGTGGAGCGAAATATTGAAGAAAAAGAAGAAGATATTATATAAAATCTAAATCTACGAAGGTGAAACACTCACGACGCTCAAATATCGTTCCATTAGCTGTTACATCCAAGCTACTGGAACGAATGCTAGAGGCGTTGCAAGTGTGGGCGTGTGAGCATATAACGGAACATATCCTATAGTATATATTACATATACTATAGCACTTCTAAGGCTGAGTTCCCACTGAGTGCGTCACGTGTCGCGTCGTCTGCCTGCGTCACGACTTAACCAATCAAATCGTTCCATTGGAACAAGTGCGTCGTGCGTCACGTTATCCCAATTAGAGGATTTGATTGGTTAACTCGTGACGCAGACGACGCGACGCGTGAAGCGTTCAGTGGGAAATTGAAAGCCTAAGAAATTGGCGAATTGAAATTGAAAGCATCTAACACCCCTGGGGTGATCATGGTTCTTTCATGTGAATCTTGTGTGTACTTTTCACTTTTCACATTTTCACAATTTCACTTATAGCTTGTTCGATTGGCCCTGAGTTAATCGCTCCGAGAGCGATTAATGACGTCATAAATCTCTATTAGCCAATCATAAAGCTCAAAATATTTGTTCGACCAATAAACGCAAGCTGAATAACCCAGAGTGGGTTAATCTAAAGCTAGTCAAACATGCTATTAAAAAGGTTTACGTGAAATATGACATAACCTTACCATGTAGTAATATATCTGTGAGGGCAAAACAAAATATGATATATAAAATATTAAAAAAGTAATATAAAATTATAATTTATATCTATAATATAATTACTAAAATATAATGTATATAAATATTAGGACCTTAACTTAGTTTCCGCCCGCAAATGTTAGATGGCAATGCAAACAGTTCTAGTAGTCATTACTAACGAAACAGGTAGTTTGTGATT